ACATGGTATTCAGCAAAGCAATGGCACGAGGGAAAAAACTATTCTGATGTCTGGATGTTTTAACATATACGTTATATACGTCTTCAAATTTTCCAGGTATTACAGGGGCAAGCAACTTTGGGTAACTAGAGCCATAGGGGTCTGATGGTACCATTGCCATGGTGACAATGTATTCATTTAAAGTAATTATACTCAACTTCTTTTCCTCTGTATAAGCCTAGACAACTGGAATCAATAAAAACACAGATATGTAAAACTTCCAAACAGCAGAGAACATTTACAGCAGTGAATTACTTATTTTTTTTCTGAAACAGCTGTTTGATAAAAAAGACACCAATGTAAATACTGAATACCCTCTAAAAGTGGAAGGTTTTCTCCAGATTCTGGGCATCACAAGAGGGGACAGAGTTGAAAATTACATCTCATTCTTTGGCTTTTTTGGGGTGGGATAGGTGGTAAGGTTATGTAAAATAACTTAAGAAAAAGCAGGGGAGAAAGATAAATTGCCCCATCAACATGTTGCTTTTTGCCATCAAATGCCACTGGCAGTGAGGATGGGGGGGGGGGTGGCTACACCTGACCTATTGCAGATAGTTTCTCAGTTCCACACATTTCAACTTGCTTCTAAGAACAAATGAAAGCCCCGTGGGATGAGGCCTATTCAGTCCAAAGCCCTCTTTCCAGAATGACCAATCAAACACTTACAGGAAGCCCATAGAAGCCCTAGCTCTCTCCCACTGTTTTTCCATCAGAACGAATAAGCATGTCTTCTAGGAAGCATGTCTTCCCAAGATAAATGGACCATTTCTATGTATTTAGGGTCAGAGACCAAACGTTTAAAAAATGCCTACAAAACATGTAAAATCATTTAAAAACAAATGTACCACATAGCCTCCACCTTTATAAACACTGCAATTTGTAATCCTTTCTGTAGATCTGAACACACATTTCTACTGTCAGGCATTAGCACAATTCCTACTCATTTAAGGAACTCTAGTTGTCCACGGCAGCACTTGCCATCAGTTCATATTTCTTTACGCTGGCTTTTTGGCAGTGGGATGCTGTGTGGAGCTGGTTGCTTTTTTACTACCAGATAAGCAAGCTATGCTTTATTATCAAAGGAGCAGAGCAGTGTCCAAGTCTGAGTTTTCTGAGGCTAAGTTTTCTCTGAATTTGAGACCCAACTTTACCATTATGCATCATGTGGTAAAATGGAACAGATACAGATTTAGACAAGGGTTATACTGCTGCCATTTTTATACACCCTTCAACATTGCAACTGTAACTGAGACCTTCTTACTGCCACATGGACATGACTTTTATAACCCACACTGAAATGGATGGGAACTGCTTAAAAACTCAGGATTCATTCAAATGGCGCAATCGCAGGAAAGGGCACATTGCAACAAAGCGTGCAGAGGTGCTGACTCTTATCAGCGTAAAAAGCAATATGTGTGCATGGGTCTTTCAAAAATTGGACTTAATGATTTTTAGTTTCTGCAAAATAAAATATGCTGGAAGGAAGGGAAAAAGGGTGTATGGGTTGGGAATGCCTTAGGAGAAGATAGTGGGGAAAATAGTGACTGAAGTTGCAGATGTAGGAGATTCCACAGAAAAGGAATCACAAGAAAAGGAAATCACAAGGAATCATAGAGTGGACAGAACTGGGCTAGATGGATCAACAATCTCATTCAGTAGGTGGCAACTTCATATAGTATTTTTAAATATGTACATGTTTATGTAAATAAAAGGGTAGGTGCTTATGCTATCAAGATAATATTGCCAAAAAAGGAAGAAAAAGAAGAAACAGCTCCAAAATATACATCCTTAAAACCAGAGGGCTAAGATCAAGAATAAGAAAGTCTTTTAAAGCATATTGAATGAGAAGGAAGTATCATTCTCATTCTGAAGAAGGAAGTCTTCCTTCATGAAACTGAACTGAGTGAAAATCTTCCATCTCTTCTGGAACACTGTTCACGTTGGACTCTACACACTCAGCAGAAAATAGGAAGATTTCAGTATTTCAGTATTTTCCACGAAAGGCTGTAGCTCACAGGATCACTAAGGCAGGACCCATAGGTACAGTCTAACTTTTCCTTCCATACACCCTGAGAAAATATGGCGTTGATGGCTGAGCTGAAACAAGACTGTGATCACTGAGCATGAAAAATCTAAGTGGAAACTAAAATAAAACGTTACAGTGTTTCTGACAATACAAGGATTGCTTTTGCTGCCTCATCTTTGATTTCTCTTGAGCTTCTTTCCATGTTCAGTCTGGATCTGAAGCGCAGCTTTTCTACTTTTAAAATATTCTCTTTCCCCTTCCTTTAATTTCTGTCAAGGGTGTATGCCCAAAATAGATCAATCAGTTAAGTTACAACAAACTGAAATGAGGATCTTATATTATTAAAATATTTTCTTTTCTATTCTACAATCTCTACTCAGATTGTGGCTTTGGTTGACTGGCCTATCTTTAATCCAGAAACAGGAACAGTCCCACGCAATCCACACAACCAATTCAAAAAACCAAACACAAGCTATTGAAGAATTGTGCTTAAAATGTATTATGAGGACCAATGTTATTATTTAAATATATCAGCTATTTTAAGAAAAATTTGATAGCAAATAAGGACTTTTACTGTTTTGGAAATTGTTACTGTTTTTGAAAAAAAGTTGAGTAAATGAAGTGTTACCATGATATGATCTATCAATGAAATTAATTAAAATGTAATTTGAATTGATAAAATATTGATTGATTGATTGATTGATTGAATTTATCTCCACCCATTTCCCCCCAATGGGGAACTCAAAATATGTTTTGCTCTGTTTTATAGCCCTAATATTACTCAGTTTTATAAGATACTTACTCTACTGTGCTGAGTATCTGAGCTCCATAAATAGGGACAAGCTCCTGCACAGAAATTTGCATGGTATCCTTTAGGTTCATGTATCCATTTCCATCCAAGATCTCTCTTGAAATCAATATAAAATGGACGCAGGCAGCAGTTATCTTGCACATTCCTGTAAATGGAATTGCAGACATATATTTAATAAGCTTCTGCCAATGGGATCGTTCTTTAATGCAATAAATCATTCAGAGATGCAACAGTCAGCCTCTTTTGTTGGTGAATTTTATGAAGTCTTCAGTTTACTGATTTTTTATGGCACAGTTTCAGCACTCTCACATTAATAAAATGTAGTTTCCAACTTGTCGGAAATAAATCTAAACCTAGTGCATAGGACTGCATCTTATGTATATTCCATCACAAAAATGATTGGACAGAAGAGTGTCAGTTGGAAAACTCTTCCCAATGCAAAGTGCAGCTTTAATGAATTGTGGGGGGAGGGGGGATGCTTAGGACCATAGCAAAGGAAAAAAATAATATTATCAGATTCCCTCACCTGCAGAATGGCTATTGGCCATTTTTAAAAAGGCACATTTAATCACTCTTTTGCTTTGGTTCTCACAGTCTGTCACAGATTGTGGTAGGGAGAAATCCTTGACTTTACACATACAAACACAAACACACACATTGTGAAGTTTAATGCTATATCTTTGTACTGTATGCCACTCTGAGTCCACAACTTACAAACATTCAAGCATAAAAAAGAATTAATGAATGAAATTTCAGTATCATATAGTAATTATGAAATGAGACAGGAACAATTCTTAGGGAATATGTATTAAAACAGGTTTTTAAGGATGCATTAAAATGGCATGTGACTGACAATGTATGGGCAAATATATTCAGGAAAGGTTATCTCTTCATTCCTCATGTGTGACTGTTTATGTTTTACTTTGTTTTGATTTGTTTTTGTTGTTTGGAAATCAGGTGGCCTAAATATAAAATTAAATAAAAATTGTAATCTGGTCCTTTCCAGCTAGGAGTTTAGGAGCAGGGTGGTGGTTGTTTCACTTGGCTAATAATAGCTTTATGGGTGCCATACAGAATGTCCAGATTTCCTACAGACATTTTGAGTTTCTGTTTCTATCTTATAATTTTGTAATATGCAATCAGTCATAACTAGATATAATTCTCACATTCATCTCTAAGACCGGCTAGAGATTTTTATTTGCATCCTTAAGTAAATTATATTTCTATGTTTCTCTGCTTTCAAGGAGAACGGATATCAAATATATATTGCTCAAAGCAAAAGAGGAAAGTAGAACAAATCTTAGTCTGCTGGCTGCTAGGGTTCTTGTAAAGGTGGATCTTGTTCTGGTTAATGTGATTAGAGGCACATCTGCAAGACATCTGCAGGTGCAGAATCCAGAAGCTACATTAGCCATTCATAGGAAAAATATGAATCCGCAATTTGCAGGGCAGTTAGGGGTGGTTCTCTTTTTCAAGGAACCCTTTATCTGAAACCAGGTCTAGCTGAAAGGGAAGGAATTATAGGAGCAGGGACCTTGAAGTTGTGCCTTAACAATCAGCACCAAATGACAGATTCAGCCGAGGCACAACTCTCCTGGTCAGTCTTTTTCATCGTGATGACATGTACTGCATTGCTATTCAGATCATAATCATCATTTCTACAAGTTTATATATGCAGTTTCTTTTGAGTGGAGTGGACACGTCGATGCAATTTTTGGGGGAACAGTACAAAAGGGTTTATCATACCATAGCCTCCCAGCCTGGCCTAAGTCCTGGTATTCCTTAGAAGGCTCTATTCAGAAAAGTCCTGATCCTATTTATCTTCCAAACTCAGGCAAGATCAGCTAAATGCTGTCACCTGCTGAAGTCTATTTTTATAACTGCATCCATACAAATAAATTAGCAAATGCAAAATTTATCCAGATGAATGCTCTCAGTTATGCTATTGGTATGGGCAGGGAGGGGCAGAGGAATCTTTCTTTAACTAGGCTTATAGGCTGTTCCAGTACCAACTGACTCTGAGCAGTTTACATCCATAATTTAAGTAATAAGATCAAAACAAAATACAGCCGTAAAACATGATTGCTTGCCTCCTGCCTGAGAAATAAGCAGTGACCCAACAACAATAAGAGCACCCCCCCACACACACACACACAAGAGTGAAATAATAAAACCCGTCAAGTCTGAAAGGCTTGCCAAAAAAGCCAATTTTTCATGATTTTAAAAGAACCCAAGGAATTGGGGCCAACTTCATCTCAGGGGAACAGAGTTCCATAGAAAGGGGGCAACGATTGAGAAAGGGCAATCTGTGGTTCCTGCAAATGCTGCTTCCTAGGGATAGGGATCTAGAGGAAGCCTTCCCTTCCAGATCTTATTAGACAGGCAGCAGCTGCCAAAGCATGTGGTCCTGCAGATATCCAGGACCTGAGCCATGTATGCCTTTGAAGGTGAAGAACAGCACCATAAGTTGCAGCTGGAAGTCAACCAGTAACTGGTGCAGCTCTTGAAGTAGTTGTGTTACGTGGCAAATTAACTGGTCTCCATGACTATCTAAGCCTCTGCTTTCTGGACCAGCTACAGCTTCTAGATGGTCTTCAAGAGTAGCCCCAGATAGTATATTGCAGTAATCAGAATGAGAGGTTACCAAGACATGAGTGATAGTCAGTAGCACCTCCTGAACCAGGAAAGGCCATAACTAGTGCACAAGATGGGGTGGTGGAAAGGCCTTCCTAGCCACTGTTGCCCCCTGTTCTTCCAGCAGGAGCTGTGACTCCAGGAGGTTCTCCACATTATAAGCCAGTTCTGCATAGGAAATGCAATCCTGTCCAGTACCAAAGATGGAATATTCCTGGTATCAGAAAGCTTCTGAACCCAAAGCCACTCAATCTTGCTGCAACTGAGCCTAAGTTCCTCCCCATCCAGACCCTAACAGGTTCCAAGCACAGGACGGACCCTCAACTACATTTTCTGATTTCTAGCACTCCATCAGCAGCTGCTCAGTTACTACATAATTCTGAGCATATGCTCTTGATTTATACATTGAAGATATTACTAGAGCATGGTGATTCTATCTGTTTAATTTTTCAGACTGGAGATAGCCTACTTTCCAAACCAGAATATACAGCCAAAATGTCACAGGGACTTTTAACGAAGGTGCAAATGAAAGCAAACATTATTCTTTAGTTAAATTGTACAGATTGCCAGAAAATGAACAGATGAGATTTAGGGTTGTATGTATAATCTGATGAGTGTGAAGGCCCCCCACTCTTGATCTGCTCCTTGACATTATGAAGCAGCTGCTTGATGGTTTCTTTGCCAACTATCCTGAAGGAAGTTCTTCAAAGTAGCCACCCAAGTCCTTGAGCAGCTGCAGCTCTTCAAGGACTTTGAGGAACCAATCCAGAGATGTACAAACTTTTATCCAAAGTTATGTTCTTTTTTGTGTGGGAGAGTGACATATTCCTTTCAATAAAACGCTGTTAAAATTATAAATAAAAAACAGATTTTTTTTTAAAAAAATGGTCTGCGTTCATATTTCTATGCATGCACACAAGCCTATAATATCTTAGTATGTAATTACCTAAAACAATAGGCAGCATCTAAAGCACGCTTCTTCCGCCGGCTGGACTGTTGCGACTCAAGTCTGTAGGAGGGTAATAACATTAGCAGAAGATGTGGGTTCTTCCCACTGTATTTTTTCCTACCGGACTTTAAAGCTTTCTCACCACTGGAATAAGGGTGGTCATCAATACCTTCAAAAAATACATTTGGGTAATAAATATCGTGTTGCTTTTTTTGGAACAAATTATATAAAGTATCTCTTCACAAGAAACCTAAATCATAGAATAATCAGGTGTGCTGGCATCAGCTGGGCTGATTTAAGACATGCTGATATGAGTATGTGAACGTGGGAAGAAGGGACCTGCACTGAGTTAAATATCCTATATTCTTATTATCTCTGCATCATTTCAGACCAGGAACACCTGCTTCATTCATTAGTCATATGATCAGTTATAGGTTTCCTTCTTCCACAATTATTATAAATATCCACATGATATTTATTTAATCCCAAGCAAACATTAATGCTTTTTATGCAGGGCCATCAACAATAGTGTGTAGCCTCAACAATCCATGGAGATGAAGCCGCTAGAGAACCAGCCTCAGGGAAGCAGCGACCAAGCTGCAAAGATGCTTATCACAGCCTAGCAAAGGCGTTCTGCATGCTGATGTACCAGATAATTAATGCAAATAGCTAACACAGATAAGCACGTGAATCTAGTTACCTGCACTGTCATCTAGACTCTATTAGTGTGCTTGGATGTATCTTTTGGATACAGTTAAGGTCACCAGTTAGATTATGGCCAGGGTTTAAATTAGTCATGTAAATTTTGAATGTAAGTTTCCCTGAGCATCAGTGCTGATATCTACTGGCGCCTAAAGAGCTATGGTTGGATGCTCAATATTCAGAGGCCTTAAGCATTGGGTCTTTGTCTTGAACGAGGAGTTGCAAGATGAATACACAAAGATCACAAAAGCAGAAAGATTTACAGGAGTACTAATGGAGTTGGAAAGACAACTATGGTACAAAGTACTTTATTATACATGTTCTAATCCATTATCATACTGACCAGCTTGAACAAAGATAACTTCAGCAGTATTTAGAGAATGTTATACCAGATTTTTAAAGCATTTGTTTAAGGACCATTTTTCCCCACTCCATCTGACTCTCCACATTCTCCTTCACTAGCTGAGAACAGCAGCAGTGGACATATTATAAGATCTGCTGAAACATTCATATTTATTACACAATTATTGTATTTTTAAATTTTCAGTTATTACCTGCAAATCTTGCCTCTAATTCTTCACTTTTATTTGGGATAATATAATTATTTGAAGGCACAAATGTACAGCATGGACAATGTAAACTGATCTTAAGTCCCAAATTCCTGTCTGCAAAACATAAGAGAAAAAAAATTGCTTTACATCAGGTCAGGCCAGACTTCAAACTATTCAAACTTAATATAGGTTAATTCTAAATAATTAAAAGATTACTGTCACCTTTGTGGTGGAGCCATTCATGTACAGCATCAGTTACATCAAAAGATAACCATTCGCCTTCAGCTCTTGTCTTCACAACCTTGCTATCAATATAACGCTGTGTAGGTGATGTGGGATCTTTGTTTTTGAGCATCTACAAAGAAAAGAAGAAAATTTATATTCTGTGATTTGGGGTTCTCACAATTTAATCTGGAAAAAAAAATAACTAAGAGGAACTCAAAACAGAATACAGAAAATAACTGCAAATCACAAAAACTTGTGTCACCTGCCTATCTATGTCATGAAAACAAATTCTAACATAGTTCTTTGACCAATTCTTACAAAGCAGAAATACAAGAAAACATCTTGAAATATTTTGTAGAGATAGGCAGCTCAACCTGCATGAGTGAGATTCTTTCCTTCACATAGATTTTGTATATAAACTTCTCCAATATCTATTGCTTTAGCACAACTTGAAATACATTAACCAATTTTTCCTGATGTCATTCCTTTTTACATAAATGTCCATGATTCAGCTCTTTTTCTTTATATTCCATAACAACATTTTAAACCAATGCAAGATACGATCGATAGGTAGGTAGGTAGGTAGGTTGGTAGAGACAGACAGACAGACAGACAGACAGACAGAATTTTTAAGACATTCATTCCTGACTGTATCTTTCATGAACAAATGCTTTTATGGTGGTTTTTAACCAGAGAAAAATGGATATCTATGCAAATTTGTTTCTTGTCAGATTTCTTTTAGGTTCCTAGAGTCTGCTTCTCTGAAATGTGGATCACTGTGATACAAGACAACCTTTAGAAGGCTTTGTTCATGACTGCGCTAATAAGCCAGCACTTCTTAATGTCTGAAATATGGAGCTCATGACAAAGAATGACTTTCAAGATGATGACGTCATACTCACTACCTGGACTGTAACTTACAAATGAATGTGACAGTTCAGGTACAGATTTTAACACATTACTACTTAATCTACTGACAATGAAATTATAATAAACAAAATGTTTAAGATGCATCTGTGAAAGTTTTGCAAGAGGTGTTAACTGCATGATAGTGCAAAATTCAGTATCATGGATATTTAAAATAAAGAGTTTGGGTCAGGTTTCAGTAGGCCTTGTTCCTTATTCACAGCATTCTGGGAGATCAAAGATGTGTCCAAATGAGCATTTAAAGGGTGAGTCTAATATAGATAACCCATCCTATACCTACTTTAAAGTTCTGTCTAACCAAGATCTTTCTTCCTTTAAAAAATACAATGTGATCACTAGGAGTCAAAAATGACTTGATGGCACATAATCAATCAATCAATTGTTGTACTGGAAATCCAATACTGATGGGACAGAACAAACATCCCATTCCAGGTATTGCCAGAATGGACTAAAGCAAATGTACTCCTAGATGCGCCAAGCTAATTTTCCCTACACCAAGTATAATCCAGACAACACACATTAATTGCAACTGAGATACTAACAATACCAAGAACTCGGTTCACCTATCAAGCATAGGTTTAACTTCCCATGAAACATATTTTACAATAAACATCCAAGTATTTTGTTTTTATCAAAGTATAATTATGGCTTCCTACATTTAGGATGCTTCCAGGCATATACTTTGCCCAAATCCTTTTTGTGTATCTTGGCTGGATGCCCTTCTTTGAACCATCATCTCTAAGTGCCTGCCCAATGGGCATTAAATTGTGGCTTGAGAATGCATGATCTCTCTGCTTTTTTACCACTGAGAATTACCATTTCTTCATTTGTCTCAGAAGATAATGATAGGCAATGCTTCTCATTACTCTCTCGCTCTTCCTCCTTCTGTCAGTTCACTGTCTTTCTCTCTTGTTCTTAATCCTTCTGGGATAGCCTTCAAGCCTTTGCTTTGTAACTAAGCTTTCATAATTCGATGTGTCTATTTCTTTTCTCTTGGTATAATTCCTTTTTTCAATTAAGTCTTGAAGTCTCCACTTTGCTCTTTTTTCTTGGAAACCTCATAGAGAAATTCTATTATTTAGATGAGAGGCTAATCCTTAGTGAAAATCCACTGTCTAGATGAGTGGCTGTTCCTTAGTTCCTGTATATTCAGTTAATATATAGATTTCTGACCTACTGGATAATAGTAACTTCAGGAAGAACAATGCCACAGGTCATAATGGGAAGCAATTCCCTAGCGCCAGACTAATTCCATAAACATTCACTGTCCCTAGAAGAAGAATTTCTACAACTTAGATGCAAATTTGGACATGCCCTAGATAGACTAGCTGATCCCTCACCAAATTTCAAGCAGTGAGTGATCTGAAGCACACTCTCCAAATAAGATCTTAAAGAAAGCTACATTCATATAGGATGAGGGAGTGCTTTTGTCCCAGACCAATGAGAATTTTAAATTTCAAAAATCCAAAGGAGCTTGTTCTCCAGAAGCATTACTCATCATATAAATGCTTAGGGCTGTGTCTTCCCATGCAAAGCAAAAAATAACAGAACTAAAATCCAGATGCTAGAGCTGGATGTCACCACACTCAAGAGGGTTAGAGATTCACACTGATGACATGCTAGGAGAAAAACTGAAATGTCTCTCAAATACAAGCTACATCTTCTTCAGTCTGCTTTTTCCAAACTTTCCTAGAATATTTTAGTTTTCCAAAATGCATATGGGTTTACCTCTTCTCACCCAGTAAATAGGACTCAGCCATTTCATTACTCAAAATGTAATTTGATCATATTCAAAAACTTTGGGGTTTACAGGATTTTCTCTTACCCCCATATCATATCACAAGGCTTATCTACTTCCAACTATCTCTCTCTCTTGAAAGCATTATGAAAAACAAAGTATCTTGGAAATAAATATATAATTTATTTTATTTTCACATTAGCGGGGCCAGAGTGAAAAAATGGGAGGAGACACCATTTCTTTCTTTGAGGATAAAATGAAGAAGAGGGCCAGGCAAGGTCCTTTTAGTTCCACAGAGGAAAGATGATTTGACAATATAATAAATATACTAAATATTACATAGTAAGTACGTAACATAATAAATATAATAAACAGACCCTTCTGCATCTTACTATGCCTGAATATTAAGCAGTGGCATTAGCACAGACGCCTGCTTCTCTCTTGCTTGCTTGAAAGTGATTGATGTTGTTGGCTGTTTGCAGAAAAGTGTTCCCATGAATAACTTTTGACAGCAGGATTTTTGGCAACTTCAGCCACCTGCTAAATACTGTAGGTCATGTTCTTCCTTCAGCTGGACTTCCTTAAAGCTATGTGCCTGCAAAGGGAAATAGTCCTGCAGAAGCGGAAGCCAATTGGGGTCTTTCTTTTGGCTTCAACCAACTTTGTATCTGGCAGGCACTGAGAACAGAGTGTGGACCTTAACAAGCTATTGTACGAGGTACAACATTCTTGCCAAAATACAAAAGGTACATATGGCTTGCCAAATGTTTTAAAGCCTATAGTTCTGTGATCCGCTTCCTGTGATCCTGCCAAGCACGTTCATCATGCAAGATTGCAAATAACAAGTACATGTGGCACACAAGCGAAACCCACTTATGGCTTGTATGGATGTAACACAACTACAGCGGATATTAATTGTTCATACTACCATAACAGTCTCTTAACAGTGGCTTCAATTTCCTCTATTCGTACTTCATCATGGTAAAAACTGGCATAGTTTAAAAATGAAAGTTTCTAGCCTTCGTGTCTGTGAGAAAAAGATTTAAATGTGTTCAGGGGCTGTAAGCTACCATGGGCCTGCACAACTATCATTTCTGTTGTGCTTTCATCTTTATTTCAATGCCAGCTCTTTATCTTGGCTGCTATAAGCACCACACCTCAATGTCTGTAATCTCTACAGCTTACATAAGGATAAAACAGTGCTCTACGTTTGTCTTTTTTCCTGGGCCAAATGTATTTTATCAAAAAGTCATCTTTGCCAAGAATTTTTTTTTTCTGCTAGAGGTTAAAATGTATTAAGCTGTGAAAATACTGAAAATGTAATTTATTTTTGGCTGCTTGAGAAATTACTCTGGATACTGTGTATTTCCATGCACCCATCTGCATCTGTGTAAAGAACTGAAGACAAGTGCACAGTAAGTGTGCAATGAGCTTTTTGATTTAAAAAAAAATGGGATGGACTACAACTTTAAGATTGTAGCTATTTGCATAAGCTGGTTTTGCACTTCAGCACTGAGTGGGAAATGCAGATAATGATACCTCCCACAATGAAGCTGCCATATTTCACCAGACTTCCTCCAATGTACTCACTTGCACTAGCAGATTCCCCTAGGGGAGATCATTTGATAGTTCTTTTTTTTTATTAATCACGTTCTAAAATAATTTATGGGGATCAAATGATTGAAAGGCAGTGAAACTGGGGCAGAAGAATTTCATTATAAAGGTATCATTCTCCATCTTACTAGTCAGCCAAAAAAGTACCCTCAGAGCTAGAAGACATTTTAACATCTTACCATCCTTCCTGTCTTATTCACTTTATACTGGAAGCTGTCAAAAGAATGGATAAATAGGATGGTCACTGCTCAGAAACATGCCAAAACACTGTGTACAATTTTCAGTGGTTTAAGAGAACTCAGAGATTATTGGGAACAAAAATTAATTCATGACAAATCAAACTTCTTCTTGGCTATCACTTGCCTGAGGCATGCTAGCTTTGATTAAAAACCAGAAACTAGAGCAAGTTTTATGATTTATGGAGGTCTTCCAGTTCATAGGCAAAAAAAAAAAAAGGTGCCTCTTGGACTTTTCAAAATTCGACATAGTCTTCCTTGAAGTCAC